TACTTGCTATACTGAGTAATGCTATGTCCGCGATGATTGCTGCAGTCCCAGTAATCTCCTTTCCCCCTCCAGAGAGGAATGGCCATTCTCCTCATCAGCAGGTCTGCGGGGATAGCACCAGACTACCAGATGATAGCCAGGACAGCGGGCAATCAATAAACTAAAAGTGAATTGCCAGATTTCAGCGGTTCAGCAGGGATACCACAAATACTTGCTACTGTATCACCCTTCAGGTTGGAAGTTGTCTTCCAAACTTCTGTCAGTGCAGAAATTTCACACTAATGAGAGAGGGGAATCAGGCACTGGAATCACACCACACTCGCATCAATACTAACTGCCTGTGATCTATCCTGTAAGAGCTGCTAAAATACTAAGATCAAAACTCACACCCCAATATGCCGTGACATGAGATGAGTGAACTGCAGTCATTTTTTCGGAATACAAATTTACCTTTCCCTTTGATAGGCAATATAAAGGTCTTTCCTTAAGATGGTCTTCAAGCTCCTCAGCCAGTTTCCAGATCAACTGTTCCTTGTCTCTCCTTTGCAGAGTCCTTTAGTAATACTTGCCTTATTTTCAGGCTGTCACTAATTGCCTATTGAGTTGCATCAAGCAGAGTGCTACAGATTGTGCTGTGAAACAATTTGTGTCAAACCCCATAGCGCAATCTTCCTTCACTTCAAAGCCTCTCGTTACAGGATGGATGGGGTGTTTAAAGTGAACTACAGGTCTCTGTACTCCAGGTATCCTGTATTTCTGGAAGACCTTTAAGTGTTGACAAGTCAATGGTCAAACTCCTTGGCTGCATTACCTGTATCCATGTACTAAGTTTAGCTATGAATTTTATAGCACTGATATCAGGAGCTAATAATCCTCAATCTCTAGGACCTCACATATTCTTGGAGGACTCTTTTACCAGCGGCATCAGTTCCAAATCATTGGGGATTTACAGACTTCGTATAGCATTATAGATAGGTTTAGTATTGAAAAGGGTAAAGGTGGCAGTTAGTTGACTTAATATGCAATGTAGCAGTTCAGGATAGCATGGCATTGAAAGGGACAAAGACGAGTGAGGGTAGAGAGGGTGAGTAAATAGGCGAAGTTAGGGATTAACAAAAGTGATTAGATCAAAATTGTCATAGGTAGGGATTAGGAGAAAAGGAGGTTTAAGGGCGATTAGATCACAGTTTCAGGAGGAATGTCAGGAGGAAGGGAATCCAGGTAGGAGGAGGATGTGTAGGAGGATGGATGTTGGCAGTTATTTTGAGTGTAGAGGAAATGCTAGCAGAGAGATTGGCGGATAGATGGGGTATATGCATGTTATCTTCTGTCATGATTAGATAGCTTTGAATGTCTCCGAGGGTTCCTGAAGTTGGTTGGGGAGGTCTGTGACACAAACGTTTTCTTATGAGGGGGAGAAGAGGGGACAGACGTTTGAGGGGAGGAGGAAGAGGTTGATGTAGGAGAGAATGCGGTAGGAGATGGGGTGGAACATTTAGCTTGTCTTGTGTGACGAGTCGAGAGAGGGCAGGTGCCGAAGAAGTAGAAACTGGAGTGTCTAGATTTAGAATGGCAAAACATTTTGACTAGGAGAGGGAGGGGCTAGAAGTGGGATGAGGAGATACTGGGGGATGTAGAAACATCTAGGGAGGGAGGGGGGTGGGCAGAGCAAAAGACATCAGTGGAGTAGGGAGTAAGAAAAAAAAACTGTCTGTGTGATTCCTGTCAAGTGAGGCCAAGCATGAATTTGAGAATTGTCACCTCAGACTCAAACTTGTAGATAGGGCAGCCCCTATAAAATACATTATGGGAGTCACTATAATTGGCACATCTTCATGATTGTGCAGACCAGACTGATCGATCATGGCCAGGTTGGGCACACAGACGGGGTCGGGCTGTGGAGTGACAGTGTTTGGCAGGTGGCCAAGACGCCAACAATCCTGACACTGACAGGAGGCAGGTTGATATGGTCGAACAGGGATGGACTTTCTGCTAATATAAACATCATTGGGAGGTCATGTTTACACAAAGTAATCTTGGCAATATTGTTGGACTGTTGGCAGCCTCTAGGGTCAACGGTGTAGCATTGTACTATACTGCATTATACTCAGAGGCAAAGTAAGCCTTCTCTACAGTCTGACCAATAATTGTTGCAGTTTGTTGGGGAGATAGAGACAGTTTCGGTGCAAGCACTGAGGGAAGGATAGGGCTGAGCATGAACGGGTTTGTCAGTGAAGTTAATCATAGTAGATAATGCTTTATATTGGGATTCAGACATAACTGTGACAAGGGGGAATTGAAATCAGTGGGGCTTGTTGATGAAGGTGCAAAATCTTTATCACTGGCTATGGTAAGCCTGGATTACTGGAAATGGTCCATTCTCAGGACCAGACAACTAAACAGGGGAATACCCATGATTCCCCCTAGGCTGTTCACAACTGGCACAAAGTCAGTCTGTCGTCATTTAAACACGGCTCTCAGTGGGTGGTAGAAGAGGTTATCAAAGAAAAGTAAAAGGAAAGGGAAAGAAGTGAAGACCATGCAAAATTAGTCGAGTCCTGCATTGTCTCAAGGAAGGGGTGATCCCTAGCATTCCGTCTCCTAAGCACCCTACGACAACGGGTAATGGGTTTGGATGGGGAGAGGAGGGTAAGCAGAAGCGTGCACAACACCAAGGAATGTGGAGTTATGCAAGTGTTTTTTTTCAATATCACTAGAAGCATTTTGACTTAAACTACCTCTACTACTAAAGGCTGAAGTCTGTTGGAAATGCTGACCCTCGCTGCAGCCCAACCAGTAACACATAAACTCAAGGTCTAGAGAAGTTCTTTAGACCCTGGATAACTATGCCTCTATCTGCTCTTCTCAATTTTGAGAAATAGCCACTTAGTCCTGTTTTAGCCTTGGAATTAAATATTTGCTGTTGTTTGTGTCTATTGGATGATATTTCCCACTCCTGATATCTGCAAACCAGTCACTTTCAGTTGTAAAGTAATTTCTCATTGACCGACAAGCCAGCAAAATGGTTCTACCCCAATCTCCTTTTGATTGCAAATTCACCATGTCATCTTGCCAAAAATACTGGCTGTCCTTTGTACACATTGTACTTTTTTCTTCTTCTCTCAACAGGACACTCATGTTTCACCTTGTTGTCAGTGTCCATATTATGCAAAAGTTTTACTCTGTGTATTAAGGAGAGAGAGAGGGTTTTATGGTTTGCAGTTTATTGGTGGTCAATCCTAACCAGAAAGATTCCCAGCGGTTATAAAGGGAAGTTTTGAAGTGGGGGTAGTAGCCAGTGAAAAGTGAGGTTGATGGGTTGTAGACAAGAGCATGCCTAGGCATCAGCTTGCTCATTGGTAGAGATCCTGCCATGGCTGGGTATCCAGCAAAACTTGACTGATTTCTGTTTTGAAGACAAATAAAACTACTGGTCACGTATCTTACGGACTATAGGGTTGATAGGGTGTTAAGACTGTATGAGTGATATCGAGTAACGTGAGTTGGTAAGGATGGTGAAGGATTACGAAGAGATGGAAAACATGCTTTGTAAAGTGAAGAGGATAACATATAGTTCTGTTGTAAGGATGCTCGATTCAGTGAGAAGGGGAAAGTTGTATTTTCAAGAAGGAAAGACTATGGCGAAACCAGTACACGAGATGGATTTGGAGCCATTTGGATAGACATGAGTACTGGAGGAGTGATTAGAGATATGTGCAAGAAAATGAGTGAGGAGGATAGGTGGAGTTTTTTCATTTGGGTGAATCAGGAAAAACAGAAAAGTAATTACAGGAGGAGGGCATTCATCATGGAGGGAAAGATTAACAGAAAGAGGAGGGGATCGGAGATCAGGATAGGGTAAATAGAAAAGCAGAGCATCCATGTGTACTGATACTGTATCATAGTTAGTGAGGCTGGCAAATAGGTCATTTTCACAGTCTGGCCAATCCTTGTCATGGACAGGGCACTCACCTGTGGAGATGGAAACAGTCCTGGTACAAGTATTAAGGGAGGAATGGGCACTGGCAGGAATAGGTTTATCAGTGAGGTCAAACAGGGTAGACAGTGCAGGGGCTTAGGACTCAGATGTAACTGTGACAAGTTCATGAACGATATAGATGGCTGCAGGAGGAAACTTTGCCTGCTTGTTTTTGGAGGCATTGTTGGAAGAGTAGGGCATTGTCAGAGTAAGGAGTTGTAGGGGAATTACAAAAAATTGATTCCATTTACCTGGGCTAAACAGAATACTCAAAAGGTTTGTTGAGATGGGAATTGTAGAGGGGCTACATTGAAAAAGGGGCAAGCCCCAGTGGCCCTCATAAGGGTAAAAAATTTCCATTACTGGCTATGGAAGACTTGAAATACACAGGCAAGATAAAAGGTCCACCCTTTAGGGTCTCCACAGGGGTAAGGGCTAGACAATTAAGTGAGGGAATACTGTGCCCATGGCTCTTTGAGGTCTTTCATGACAGGTACAAAATCATCCTTTCATCCTTTCAAAACCTTAGGAATTGGACAAGGGAAGGGGTTGGGGAAGTAAATAAGGAACCTGGTTCATCTGAAGAAACAAGATTTAATTTTTATGTGACATAAGCAGCAGTATGTATTGATATTGCTTCTTGATTCACTGTTCTTGTGTTACAAAAATATTACCACACTGAAGATTTTTTATTAACCCTTTCCCACTGGGTGGCAAGTACATACATGCCATGGCATGCCTGGACTATATACTGGGTGACATGCGCACACATGCCATGGTGCACCAGTTCCATTTTCTGAGGGCATGTACAGTCATGCCGCGCACAATACGGTGATGACACAAGCCCTGGGCAGCGGGGCCTCGGCCACTATGAATACAATCTGGGAGAGAAGGCTTGCGTATCAGGAAATCACCCGTTGGTTATAGGTTAAATATGTTAAACAAAAAAATGCCTCTTTACGTTGGAGACCTATTACAGAATGAAGTTTTATTTGATCTGAAGGCCAAAGATACACATATATATAGTAGTAATGTATTTCAATGATAAAAAGTATATACAAAGTGGAAATTATTATATGAGCAATGATACTGTGATGAATTACAAAAAAACATTGTCAGTAGTCATGAAACAAACTATTAAATTAAAGGTAAAATAAATATTGAAAACATTCACAACAAACTTAATAAATACTGTAAGAACAAAAAAGTATGAAACATGAGCCACCTTAAAACATAAATAAAAAAACAACTATCTTATCATCCATCACAATGATACACGTTTCTATGTTACATCCACATAGGAAAATAGAGACCAAGTTATGAGTCACATGTTAACAATAAAGAACAGAATTTGAAACACAGAATGTTCTTTTTCACGAATTCCAGTAATGTTATAGATTATATCAAATAATCTGGAGTAATGTGCATACAAGCATGTAAACCAAAGAAAAGAAAACACAAACAAAAATATATGCAAACAAACACACACACACTTTTGCTTGTGCATGTAGATATATGCACTCATACACACATGCACACACACTCACTCACACTTAAAAAAGAAAAAAAAGAAAAAACAATTACTCATGGCTATCTTAACAGATTATAACACAAGGGAGATTTTTTCCACAAAGAATGACTGTTAAATATAAAGTTATTGGAAAAATATAAAAGATAATCAATATATTTAACTACAAGAGCAGGAAAGTCAGAATACAGAATATAAACTGCTTTGGCAACAAGGAAGTGACATTAAACCTATAATACAAGACACCTCTCCAGTTACGTGAGAATACTTATTTTTGGACATTGTGCAAAATTAAAGCAATATTACTTTTAAAACTCGTGCTATAATAAAGAAAGAATATAATGTGGACCCTGATATAGTTTTACCTCAATAAAACCAAAAACCCTTTTTAAATGTATATAGTCTGACAGCACTGTCAAAATTTTAAGAAAAAGGAACAGGAAGAAGAAAAAAATAAAGGGAAATGAATAAAAAAGAAGAAGATATGAAGGGGAAAAGAAGGAAAAAAGGAAAACATCATGATGACTTCTAAAAACCTTTATAATAAATCAAGAGTTTATGTGAAAAACTACTCCAGAATCCACATAAGATGAAGTCCCCCAATTTCTTCTCATATTCCCACCTGTCCCTAAAATGATGGTCCTGAAATCTATGACATTCCATCTATATGGGAGTAGCCCCAATGTCCAATTCCTCCCCTCAGCCTCATTTGATCATTCTGCTAATTTCTAGGCTTCCAATCTACATAAAAAAAACTCTGGCCAACTAAAGCCTCAAATGGTATCATATTACACTATAGCATTAATCCTGTCCCCTTACCTCCCACATTAGGTCTTTAGCTGTTGTGTACACATGCACTCTAATAAATGCATAAAGCTTCTGTAATACATTCTTTTCCAGAAAAAAATTGAGGTATGTAGGTAAAGAACTGCCCTCTTTCTCTCAGCTCTTTACAGGAGTACATTCTGCAATATTACATGAATAACTTGATGTTTTGTTTTTGTTTTATGCTGATACTGATGTAACTCTCCTCCTATTAAATGTATTCTGCCTTATAAAATATTTCATTTGCAGATACTGGCTGTAATAACATTTTCTATGTATCTTATTAGTGGGAAGTCTTAAAAAAAAGTGAGTGAAAGAGGGTTATAATGCCACAATCTCTGGCACTCAAATCCAAGCCTTTCAGCCCCATCCCATGCACCTATTTCTTGCTCATCATGCCAACTGAAACAACCAAGTTAAAATCATGGAAAATGATATCCATTTTTAACCCAAGTTCAGCCTACTCAAATAAGCCAAGAACTAATAACTTTGGAATATAACATACCTTTGATCATGTAACTTGTGGTAAAGTAAAAAATGAATACTAATTCATACACAAAAAAAAGACAAGAAATGTACATATATAGCAAAGAATGCACTCTCTAACAGTCTTTCTTCAGTATAATGACTCTAAATTTACTGAATAAAATTTGCGTGTGATAACAACACTCATCTCAGCTTTCAGCTTCTTGGCTAAATCTCTACATTATGCATCAGGACAGTTCCATATCAAGTGATCCATTGAATGTGTAAATCTTTAAAACTGAAATATAAAGAAAAAAATGCGGGTTTACAAGAAGTCTACTATATAGCAGTATTTACAATTGCAGCACTTTTATCATGAAATACACAAAAATATATGGAATCTTAATCATAAGAATGCAGAAAAATACATATTACCTCCTCTGTTTCTACAGAACATACATATATACACACATTTCATTTATAGCAAGCCTTGTAATTCTGGCTTACTTAACAATAACTGCCATATAAAAAAACATTCAAATTAAAAACCACTGTCAACAATGCCTCCAATAGCATCTATAAAATGAATACCACTGAAATCTACATATTACAAGTCAACTGATAATATCATTGGTATTTAAGGCACTTTGAAAATGCTCAAGACAAAAAGCACATTACACAAACAGACATTTTAAAGAAAATATATGCAATATCTTGTTGAAATAAGCAAAACAAAATATGGCAACCAAAATTTGTGTTCAAACAAAAATTCTTATAGCATTTGCTGCTGCTCCTGAAAAGCATTTCACGAATATTTCAAGTGACAAAGAAATCTTGTTATTACTCTTAAAACAGCATAAATTACTATTTGTCAAGGCTCCTTCAATGCATAAGTGGATAGTCTACAGTGCATATAATTCCATCTAATACTCAGCTAGCCAGTTCTCTCTCCCATTTGGAATCTCTCCATTGGAGGTGACCTTCACATCAAGAAAAAAATTGGCAAAGGGCCAATCTTGCGATGAGTGCACAAAGGAGGAAAATTTGAGTCAGTGGGCATTTAGTTACTTAATAGTACAAAATTATAAAAAAATTACAAGAAAAAGTCTATTGTTATCTTGATACTGCTTAACAAATGACAAATATAAACCTCAGAAAATGGCAAAGTAGCGAAAAACTATTATGCATAATAGCATTGCAAAGAGGGGGCAAGGAATCTTGATACCACACATGAGTGTCTGTGTAGGCTGGGCCTACAAGCCACACACCTGGGAGAGATGCCACTCATGTAAGCCTAATGCCTGGAGTTTTTTTCATGTGTGAGCTGTGAGGCACCTGGATCCAGTGAGTTACAGACATAATAGACAAAGGATTATTAGACTGCTCCCAACCAGAAGTCACAAAGCTAAGTTCATAATTTCAAGACAGACTCTATCTATTTAATTACATATTTTAAAAGAAGTATATAGTCTGAGAACACCTGCTAACATTTTCTTCCTTATACAAATCAACCAACTGGATCCAGTGACATGACTGTCATGTCCTGAAAAAAATCTGGCTGAGGGCCTAGGTGACAGGAACATGCCTTTGTGAAAAATATGGCTAAGGGGCTAGGTGCTGGGAAAGGTCAATGATCATGAATGCACAATGATCTTGGAGGATGATTTGCACTTGCATCATGAATGCTGGCTCCAGGGAGGACACTGTTTCCATGCTCAGGATCCCATTCCTACCCCCCATGACAGCACAATCAACCAACTGGATCCAGTGACATGACTGTCATGTCATGAAAAAAATCGGACTGAGGGCCCAGGTGACAGGAACATGCCTTCATGAAAAATATGACTAAGGGTATGTTACTATGGGTAAAGAAAACTGAATAATACAAAAATATAGAAAGATGATGCAAATAACACTGTGTTACTTATGGAGTCTGCTTAAGGAAAACAGTCTATTACCACCTTGATACAGCATAACAAATGACAAATGTAGACCTTGGAAAATGGTAAAACAGCATAAATGCTCATACAGCCAAAACATAGTACAACTGCAAAGAGGAGGCAAGGAATCTTGATACTGTACATGAGTGTTCATATGGGCCAGGCCTACAGTAGTAGTAGTGGAGACCCTTAGTGCACTCATAGGAAAACATGAAGTAATGGTGAATTCCACAGAATGTATATCAACCTAGCATGAATGTAACAAAAATCTCTTGGGAGATAAAATACATCTGCCCATATTTTCTACAGCTTAATGCCATAATGATTAATGCCTAAAGGTAATGTTGCTAGTTTTTTGGAAGACAGGCATGTCAGGAAAGTCTGTCTGTCTTTCTTGATGAAGACATCAGCCAAAGATGATGACATCAATGATGGTGAGGAGAGGAGGTTGAGGAGCTCTGGCAAATACAAAAGAAAACTGTTCCACTTGACTTTGCAGTCCATTTAGTTACAGAAATCTAATCTTCTGAAGAGAATCTGAGTGACACTGTCCCCATCACTACCTTCTTGAGGTTTCTGAGGATTCTTTCTTCTTTATGTATAAAGCTTAAGAGTAACAATCCAGTTTGTTGGTCAGCAACACAATAAAAAACAATCATTTGGCACCTGCCCTTATAAGGCCAAAAATAGAAAATAAAAATAAATGTCTCTATCCATAAAAACTATCAAAACAAAAACTTTTTTCCAAAACAGGTAAAAATTCTTTCAGTACCAGTAAAGCTTACTTCAAAAATAACAAATTTCTATACAGCCTTACATAACAAATAGATCTCTGTACTCTAACACCTTACAGACAAACAATACTTTCCATCCACAAAATAGTACACTAAAGCACTATAATTCCAAACCAAAAAGTGGATATAGAGGACAAGAAAAGGCAAACATATGAAAAAAGTATATATATAATGAATACAGCAAAAACATACAAATCTCCATGCATACACACATGCAAACACATGCACACACCTGACAAGAAAACATATGTAAAAGCATACACACATTAAAAAAAATATATAATAAACACGGATGAAAAATACACTCATACAACTGAAAGCCTTCACATCTATAACTCTACATCCCATCTAAATCAACAGCAATCTCAGTTACATATAGTATGACTTCACAAACATGGACCAACACATTCTTTAGTACAGAAATCACTGAGACAGTAACACTGACATGACACACATGCACAAAAGGAAT